AATGTAGATTTGAAGTCATATTCCTATTATGTTATGCCTTACAAGATGCTCATGTGTATGTGGGATTTTTTGTAAAGCCCAATTTCGTACAGAGCAATATAATCACATAGAAATATTCTGGAAATTACATCCAGAAAGGATAAGTAAAGACGATTTCCCTTGGCCTGTCAATTTCGTCCACTGGCCTGTCAGATCTCTTCTTCTCTCTTCCCTTTCTTCTTCTTCTTGTCTTCTTTTCTTTGTTTTTCTTCTCATTCTCGTTTCTTTTCTTTCTTCTTCTTCACCTCCGTATTTTCTTCTTCTATGCCGTCTAGATCTGCGATGGTGAGGGTAAGGGCAGTGGCGGCGATGGCAGGGCTGAGGACGGCGGCGACGATGGGGGAATGAAGATGGCAGCGACGATGGTGGGGATGATGGCGGCCGCGGGGATGAGTCTAGATCTATATTTCTTCTCTTCTTGTTTTCTTCTTCTTTTCTCTCGTTCCTTTCTAGCCCACAATCACGGCGATGGTGAGACCGCAAGCGGTGGTGGGGTTGACGATGATTGTGAGGACTAAGGTGAAGGTGGGGCTGGCGGTGAAAGTGGGGTGGCAGTGGTGGTAGCAGGGCGGTGGTGGGGAGGTTATGTGCGGCGAACGGGTTAACTGGTGAAAAGTCAAGAACATCTTACAACGCGTGAACGGGATCCGAACGTTAGGAGTGGAGAGAGTGAGAGCCACAACCGGGTAGAATTAATTACGGAATACGGAGTACTATACAATGTGGTTTTGGAGAAACCATTGTGGTGCTTCATAGGTTTAGCCATTTGGAGCATTTGGATCGCACGGATCAGATATAAGTATTTTAGTTTTTTTGTTTTAGTTTTTAATTGAGGTTGCATATGTTTTGTTATTTATTTTCTTACAATTTTTTTGCCCCACTCTCTAAACTTCCTAGCTCCGCCATTGGCTCTAAGAATATCCAAATGTACAATATAGATTCTCCTTCATCGCAAAATAAAATTACAATTATTATATTAATCTTTCAATAACGTTTGTTTACTTGTGTTTTTTTTTTATCTTTCATAAAATAGAATAAGCATGTCAAATCTTGGCTTGTAAAAATTTAGATGTACTTTTGGAATGATATTGACTCGTTTACTAATGTAGGGGACGATTTCCATGACATTGCCCCGTCTGTAAAATTGATGTCAATGTCATAGGATGACCCGAGGGCACTCTGGTACCCCGTTTGTAAGATTGATGGTTCCTACTCAGTACTCCCTAACCCCCGGTAAAACCCCCCACCCCGTCCCGAACCAAACACCCGCCCCACCCCCTTCAATTGCACCCCACAAGTTAATTTTGATTTTGGAGTCAAAGTTTGGCTCTAAAGTTCGAAGTATAGTACTGTATATTTTTTATGTAAGGTAATGTTTGGTTTGACTTAATTTCAGTGCTAAATAGTTTGAAGTATAGTATATTTTTTTTATGTAAGGTAATGTTTGGTTTGACATTTTTTTTTGGGAAAATTTTAATAGTAATTTCCTACATTTGTTATAATTCAAAAAAATTATCGACAATAATTCTAATTTTACTAATGATGGAGAATGATATCCGCTGGGCCTAAATAAAGATATTAGGTCGGCCCACACGAAAAGCCCACAAGGGAATTTTAACCTTAGGTTCATATTATGATGCTAAATAAGGGACACAGATCTAAGAAGAAAGGAGGGCCACTTTCTACATTCCATGCATATTGTATTCTCTCTGTTTGTCTTCTCCTTCTCGATGGAACTTCGAGCTCCATCAATGGCTATCACGCCAATGTGCAGTACAAGTATATCCCCAATGTATAATAAAATACCCCCATTGGTATGATATTGAATTGCCAAAAAAGTCCGTGGTTTTCAATGATTTGTTTTCCACGTCAAAATATATTGTCCACGCTGTAACACCATAATCCGTCCGGGTATGCAGTCCTTTCGGACTAAAATATTAACTTGGTAATCTTAAAAATTTAAAACATTTTAAATATTTTTATTTATCACAATAATATTTGTCAACAAACTCTTGAACTAATTGTAGTTCAAGGTACTTCTAACGAACTCTTCAACTATATTCTTGTTTAAGGTACTCCTAACCAACTCTTAAGCTAGTATAGTTAAAGGTACATTTTCAAAAAAAGGATTTCCAACTCTTAAACTATCCTTCGCTTAAGGTACATAAGAAACCGAACAACGGAATGCTCACTGTTGGGTTGGGTGGTATCCCGGATGAGTGATCCTCTAGTTTCGTTTGTGGATCCCGTACGTACATTTTTACCCAAGCCACCGAATATTCATATTTATACCCGTAAGGCCTATTCTAGGCTAAGGTCTATCTTATAGGTCTTCTAGATAGCTAGAAATCAACATCAACATGGGTTTTGATAAGTCGTCAAATCTTATATTTTATTCGCCCATATTAGGCCTTTTAGTATACTAGTATTCCTACCCGTGCAATGCACGGGTTCGGACTAATATCTTGTCGATTTTGAATTTATTCAATGCAATATTTTTCCGGAATAAAGGAAATATACCTCATGCATGATTTATAATAACACAGAAAAAAAAGGCAAAGTAAAAAGAATAATATTTAAGGAATTGAATCTATACACAACAAAGTTTGCTTTAATACCAAATTTTTTGAAAGATTTCAGGGTATACAACATTTTTTGTATGGCTGGAAAGATTTCCATTGTCATCTAAGACGAATACTTTTAATCCTGTCTTTGTCTTCACTCGCGAAACAGCAACATAAAGCTGACCATGAGTGAACACTGACTTGATTAAAAATAATCCAACAAATGACAATGTTTGACCTTGACTTTTGTTAATTGTCATAGCAAAACATAAGACTATTGGAAATTGTCTTCTCTGAAACTTTAGAGGTAATCCTGGATCAGATGGTATCAAATTCATCCGGGGTATGTAAACTTTTTCGCCCACTCGATTTCCCAAAACCACAATAGCACCAATAACATTCTTTCGCATCTTGTCAACAATTAATCTTGTACCATTACATAATCTAAATGTTTGGTCAATGTTCCTTAGTAACATAATTGGTACCCTTTTTTTAAAAACTATCATGTGGTTTGGGATTCCCGGATATTTGATTTCATTCAAAAACTCAACTGTTATCTTGTCGCCATCAATACCTACATCTGAATCTGCTTGGCATGATGAATCAGAACTCAAGTACACCATTTCATCTCTAGGAATGAGGGATAAGACAAATTTATTTACCATTTCTACAACTTCGAGCGTGGGTGCTAGTAAAACCCTGTCTTCAAAAAAAAGAATAACTTCTCATATTCTCGCATAAGTTCGGATAAGTAAAGTACACTATACTTTTGAGGGGTGAGCTATTATCTATAATCAAAAATTCGAGAGGAATTTCAACGTCAGCAGTTCCATCAATCACTTATCCAAGCTTTCCATCTCCAACTTTGATTATCCAATCAGAAAAATCTTGCGTGTCTTTATCTACACAAGAGGACGTTGATGAATGCAATCTCATATTCTTCATCAACTTAAAAACTTTACATTAAGACCACAAATTTGAAGAATTAATGGTAGCACCTACAATTTCCTCTCTCGAAGCTATGGGTAAAACAGTAAGAATTTGTCTGAAATCACCTCCGAGTACAACCGTTTTTCCTCCAAATGGTTCATTTATTAAGTTTGGATTAGAGAACTTCATTAGATCTCTCATCGTGCGATCCAATGCCTCAAAAGCAAATCTATTCATCATACATGCTTCATCCCAAATGATTAAACTTGCCTGTTGAATTAGTTCTGCTTTTGGGCTCCCTTGTTTGATGGCACACGTTGAGCACTCTATTAGCGCCAAAGGAATTGAAAATTTGGAGTGTGTTGTCCTTCCCCTAGGCAAAAGCAATGCTGCAATCCCACTGGATGCGACATTCAAGACAACTTTACCACTTGATCTTAGAGAAGGAGACAATGATTTCCAAAGAAATGTTTTTCCAGTTCCACCGCAACCATACACAAAAAAGAATCCTCCTTTTCTAGCAGTCACAACTTCCATTATTTCATCGTATATCTTCCGCTGATCTTCATTCATCGTAGATAAGTATCCCATAAGAAGCTTCAACGTTTATTTATGGAAAAGCTTCAATACTTTAATAAAAAACATTTATTTATATAATAATAAGGAAGAGGATATAAAAAACAATTTGAGGAGATGATGAGGAGAAGTGGAGAACAAAAAGGTCGAGATCCATAGGAGATTTGTTGGCCTTAAAATCACAGAGCACACCGTCAATCTACACATCAATGACTCTTGAATTCTTATTCTGTATGTAGATATTGATTTGGGTGATTATTTGTATTTATATTTCTTATCATTTCAGGTATTAGTTATAAAAAATAAACAGACTATAGTGTGATTTGTTTTTTCAATACTTAAGGACTAGAGAAACTTCAAGAGACTATAAAAATTAAACTCCACACCATAAAATATGTTCAAAAACAGGAGACTATAAATCTGAAATTAAGGTCTGAAAAATAAGGACAGACTCAAGTCGTCAATACTTTAATAAAAAAAATATGTTTTTTATGGTGCTGAAAATAGACAGCAGACTTATTACACTTTAAGAACGGCAGAGTTATTATTACATAAATTATAAGAATTCCTTCTTAAACACTATTAAAAAACTTTAGTCTCATGGGTTTATGCACTGGAGAAACTTCAACATGAATATGCACTAAAAAACTAAACAGACTATAGTGTGTTTTGTTTTTTAATACTTAGAATCAGAACACACTATAGTGTGTTTTGTTTTTTCAATACTTTGAATCTGGAGATCAGAAACTTCAAGAGACTAAAAACTTGTAACACCCTAATCCGTCCAGGTCTGCAGCCCCTTTCGGACTAAAGTTTTAACTTGGTAATCGTAAAATTTAAAACTTTTCAAACACTTTTATTTATCTTAATAATATTTTTCATATCATAAACAGTACAGAGTTTTCAATATTGCGGAAGCTTAACAAATCATAACCACAAACATAATTTATTTATATTCTTTAATTCAAAACCATCACATCCATTGAGACTATCTCGCCTCCGTCTGCCTCCAGGATCACGTCACATCATTCTATTGACCTGTGTGTAGCAAATAAAACACACTACACGCTCAGCGGTAAAGCTGAGTAAGCATATCTAATGCGTCGAACATCCACATAAATTGAATCTCAATTCATAATCAACCATTTGATATCATGCACATAATGTTCAGTTCAGATATTCAATAATCAATATTCAATTTTCAACATTCATTATTCAATCATCCAACATATATATTCATCATTTGTCATTCAACAGTATCCTTTAACTATTTTTAGTCTAAGGCCAATCAATTTAATATTTGTCAACCCTTAAATGAATTCTAGTTTAACTAATTAAACTATATTCAGTATACAGAGTACTCCTAATAATCCTTAAGCTAGGCCTAGTTTAAGATAAAAGGGTTTTGGAAATCTTAAACTTACCTTCACTTAAGGCCAACCAAAAGCCAACAGCGTAGTGTTCACTGTTGGGTGGGTGGTACCCCCAAACGAGTAGGTACTCAAGTTTGGTTCTTGGATCCCGTACGTACGTTTTAACCCTAGCCACCGGGCATCATACCCGCAAGGCCTAACTTATATAGGTATATCTTAGAGTTCTTCTAAATACCTTTCAAATCAACATTAATATAAGTATATCTTAGAGGTCTTCTGGATACCCTTAACAATACATATTATTTTCACAAGCATAAATATATTCATTTTGATTTAGTCATTCATAATTTCCATTTTTAATCAGAACAATTATCACGATTTAATCATCATAATCATCAACCAATAATTATTACCATAATCATCAATAAACATAATATTCAACAACAATTAGCGGCCTAGCTTTGAGTGTTAACACCCGAACTTACCGTCATGCATCACATAACATTTTTATTTGTTAAAAACATCATTTTTATTGTGGTAAATCATTTTTATAGTGATCATAATCAATTGGTATCAAAATTAGGTTTTTAGAACTCAAAAATAGCATTTTCAGACAAATTTTCGGATCAGAACTTCGGGGGATCGATCCAGCCCTCTGGATCGATCCATGATGTGAAAATTAACTCCCAGAGGATCGATCCAAGCCTTAGGATCGATCCAGACAGTGTGTTTCAGGTACTGTTCAATCGTCTTCAACCTCGGTCCATTTTTCGGGAAAACCATTTTTAGTCACCGAACTTTAATTAAACTATATAGAGATGTTCTCCAAGGTTCATAGATCATAATAGAATTATTCAAACATATTTTAAACATCAAATTCAAGGTTTATGATTCTTGGTTCTTCAAGCATATCAAACACAAAACTTAACCAAACGACCGTTTATGAACGCAGAAACGATCTATACGAACATTCTAGTCATTAGATGTATTAACGGGCTTACCTCAAAGGTAAATGAAGGTTTTGAATATTTTCCGGCGAAACTTCCGGCGAGGTTTGTGGCTTGCTCCGGCGACTTCACCCCAAATTGACAGCACCACTTTGTTCTCTACACTCACAGCTTCATCTCAGAATTTATTTGAAGGAATTTGATGAAGAAATGGATGAGATTAGGTTCCTTTTATAGGAGAAGAAGTGAAGAAGAAGACATGGGTGTGACTCAGGATTCCATTTCTTTGTTGGTGATCGATTTAGTGCGCAAGACAGCGGATTTGTAGGAATTCACACGCCGTTCACTGATTGGGACTAATTTTGGTCTTAGTCGGGGTACACTTTTTGGTCCAACTTTCTCCGAATTGAATTCCGTTTGCACCGTTGTGATCAGACAATTAAACTCTATCCAAGGATATATTTTTTATATTTATTCGTTATACCTTTTCTGATATCATATTTTTGGGTGGTTGACTTTGACAGAGTCAAAATTGATTTGTTTGACCTTTACTCAAAAAGGTGCTTATATTCAATTCATAAATCATTTTAAAGTTCACTTCATAAATGATTTCTTCATTTATTTTTGATTCGGGTCTATACTCAGGTTCCAAATTAAAGTCACACAATAAGTGTCACACAATAAGTCAACAGGTTGGATTTATCTCTATGAGATTTAACCCAATTATGTTTATTGGACATCAATGTATATTTTATTTCGGCCCAAAGCCCAACAATAATTTATTTTAATCAAAACAAATTTTGTTTAATTGAATAATTAATTCAATAAATTTTAGGGTATATTTTGGGGCGTTACAAAACTACACTCCACAGTCCACACCATAAAATATGTTCAAAAACAGCACACTATAAATCTGAAAATAAGGACAGGCTCAACTCTTGAGTACTTTAATAAAAAAATTATTTTTTATGGTGCTGAAAATAGAAGATTCAAGGAAAGCATACTCATTATACTTTAAGAACAACTTCATTTATTTATTCAATATGGACAATTGAAGAATTTTTGTTTTTTATACAGATTAGTATAATTGTGTTTTGAAAGTAAAAGCAAAATAACCTTAAAGCCACTAAAAAATTATAAGAAATCCTATTAAACATAAATTTTATATTGTATGCAAAATACGAATAAGAGTACAATTCTTACATGTTCGTCCATGAATATCATCTCAATCAAATTCGTCATCTTCTCATCATTATACACTGGCATCTTGTACAGTCAAATCACACGAACCAAAACTCTCCAGCATTTACTTGATGGATTGATCTTCAACAAAGGGTGAATCGGTTTGGAAGACATGTCAATTAATCAGAGGTTTAGGTATGAACGCGGCTTACAATGAAAAATAGATTGATGAAATGACTTACTTAAAATTTTATTTATATATGACCTAATATAAATCCCAAGAAGGAAACTTACAGCAATAAGGGTAGAAAATCTAGAGATTTGAACCGGAAAATTTGAAAAAAGAAAAGGACCGTGAAGAAGGAAAGAGATTAATTCCAATCACATATTCTATGAAATTTCGCGGTGGAGCCATTTGAAGAAGAATAATGAATATCGCAGGGAGGTGCAATCGAAGGAAAGTGCCGCTGATGTCTCGCTTCATTCAGACTTGCGGATGAATTCCACACAGAGTAGCCCAAATAAAAGAAGCCCAAAGTAATGAATCATTATCCAACCCGTTTGAAATATTGAGTAAGTCCAATATGATGACATGGCTTATGAAGTGTCAAAAAAAATCCCTGTCAGCATGACAAATGTCAAAATTCTAGGAGTTAAACTCCCAAATATAATATATAAAGGATAAAGGATTCCAAATGAATTTTATACACATTTAGGGCCGGTTCTTTAGGACTTGAACTCTTATCTTCCAGTTCTTTCCAGTTCCTTCCAGTTCTTTCCACTTTCTTCTAGTTTCTTCCAGTTCTTCCATTTTTTTCCAGTTTCTTCTAGTTTTTTCCAGTTTCTTCTAATTTCTTCCAACTATATTTATTTTCTTCAAATTCTTTCTTCTTTCTGACAAATCACTCTAAAAAAATATATTATTATTATTATCATTATTACTATTATTATTATTATTACAATTTTTTTAATTACAACTTTTATGTTCATAACTATAGTTTATAAATTATTTCATTTTTTCATCTCACTATTTTTATGATTTACATTCATTATTTTTTTCTTCAGCTTTTTAATATGAATAATACCATTTTTTTGTACATTAATCTACATGAAAAATTAGGAAACTATTTAAAAAAATTATGGTTAAATAGTTATATTGAATTTTTTTTAATCTAAATTTTTATAAGGTAAACATCAATATTTTAATCTAAAATATAAAATATGGAATATGGTGGAGAGTACTACATTATGAAAACCAAAAGAAAACTACATTTTGAAAAAGAAAAAAAGACCCTAGAAGTGTAAGATGGAAATTCAACTAACAAATAACATCACCAATAATTAAAATACAACTAACAAAAAAAGTTATAGTTTCATTTATTTGATTTACTTTTTAGTGTCTCTAATATGTAAAATAGTGTGCATATAAATATAAATAATCCAATCATTCTCAACATAATCATATTGTAAGAACATAATCATATTGTAAAAACTATAGTTCAACATAATCATATTGTAAAAACTATAGTTCATACTACGAGTATATAGTACCTTCAATTAAGTTTAACTACATTGTAGGATATTAAGTGCTAGTTAATCTCTAAACTGTTTCATTGCATCTTTAGTTTGTTTATCAAATAACATCATCTTTTTATGTATGAGAAATAATATTCGTAATTTTTTTTATTTTAAAGACAATCATTTAGATAACGTGATAACACCACCACTACCACCACCACCACTAACAACAACAACAACAATTACAATAATAATAATAATAATAATAATAATAAGAATAATAATAATAATTATTATTATTATAGTAATAATAATAATTTATATCAACAAAAATCAGAATGAGAATAATTTAAAACCACACATAAAATTTTTTTAAAAACTTTTTTTAGATTTTACAATTTATTCTAGTTTTTTAGATTCTTTTAATTTTTTTCCAGTTTTTCCAGTTTATTCCCGTTTCTTCCAGATTTTTTTCAGTTTCTTCCCGTACCTTTCAGTTTCTTCCAATTTCCAATTCTTTTTTTCCCGTCCTAAAGAACAGGCTCTTAATCACTATTATGTTTTCATAGCAATTTAGGCCATTGTTTATATTTTGATTATAAATTGCATTCTTTTGAGCATTCTTTTACTTCACTATTTTTATTATCTTATTTACCTTGACGTAGTATGTTTTGGGAACCATAAAAAGTTCAATGAAAATTTCAAGCTTAGATCTAGTGATTGTCAAGAATTTGGTAAATACTCCGTAAGTTAATAGGCCAAGTCACTTGGGACTTGACCCAATTGGTCATTACGCATCCCAGATTCCCAGTCCAGAGCATCCCAAAACAATGAAGAGGAAGCAACGGAGTCAAGACCTGTGCATTCCTCGTGTGTACCTGCGGCAGCTCAATCCACCAGTCCAGCAGCTGCCCAGGTCTCAAAAAAATCAGCGGAAGAGTCCAGCGGAGTATGTGTAGCGCATAGGGATTCCAACTTTGAGACGGCAAGAGCAGCGTACGAGGCTGAACTTCAGGAAATTTGGAGTCCTAATCCTAGACGAAGGTCTGATTTCCAGCCCTATAAATGCAGCAGGCGGCAGCGAGAGAAAGGGGGGAGGGAGACGACGTTAGCAGCGGCGAAGGGCGAGGAAGACGACCAAGGGGTACGAGCCTCAGGGCCTGGACTTCGGTCCAGGCCCTCCATCTTCTTTATTCCTTTGTGTTCATTTTGTTTTTCCTTTTTGTGTTCACAGTAGAGTGTTTTCCCTTCCTTCAATTATGTTTTGCCTAGGGATGAACAAAGTTACGGTTTCTACTCAATAGACAGACTTTGTTTTCAGCATATTGTATTTGTTTTTTTGCCAATATTTAATGATGTTGGTTCAAGTTAATGTCTTTGGTTCGGTGGGTTTGTTTGCTTGGTTCCTTGTTTGTTTGTTATTGAGTTTTTGTTCCTTTGAGTACAAATCATTCTTGTTAAGTTGATTATAACCTCTTAATTGATAAAGTCAACTTCCTAGACTATTTTATTCATCAATAAGGATGAATCGCTGGGTTCAAAAACTTTGTTGAGTATTATGGCTTAGGGTTGTTTTAAGCCTTTGTGCTACGGTTGGTCGAAACTCATAAATGGTGTTTGAAAATTGATTTTATTTATGCTTGGATTAGATCAATTTAGGATGGCCACCTAAAATCTAATTCCAAATTGATAGTTTTGATGCTTTAAGTACGTTAATAGCTGAGATTTTCAAAACACACGTGTCACCCAATTAATACTTAATTGGCTCCCACCCGGTTTTTATTAATTGGAGTTTTCAAACTGGCTATGTTAAATAGATATAGTCTACTGCATAGTTGTTAAGTGATGTTTTCCAAAAAACATAATGCTCTATTTTTAATTAAATCTGCGGGCAGGTCCTTGGGTTGTTAAGAATAGTAGGGTCTAGAGTTGGGGCAGGTCTTAACCTAGGCTATACTAGGGAAAACAGGGAAGAACTGTAGGTGGATTTCTTCTTCAACTTAACCCAAAGAGTTTTGTCAATCGTTTTAATTTGGAGTAGTCTTGATTAATTTGAGAATCTGGATTTGATCAATTTGTTTTTCAAAACTATAAGTATTTTCAAAAATCAGTTTAAGTTAATTATTATCGTTTACGTTTTTATAAAGTTTAAAGTGTTTGTTTGTTTTGTGTTAGTATTGTCGTTGTGTGTCTTCATCCTTGTTCTAAGTAGCTGTTATGGCTGTGTTCCTTTGCCCAATTTATCCACTTTTATTTATCTTTATTTTATTTGCATTTTTATCTTTTTAGAATTGTCATTCAAACCCCCATATCTGTTAGTTTAGTTTTAGTTGTTAGTTTAGGTAGTTTTTAGTTAATAAAAGTGACAAGTGAACTGATTTTCATAGCCTAAAAAGTAACTTTCCCCGTGGGATCCCTATCTATATGTTTTGATGAATATTGAATCATAAAGGGGGTTAAGAGTTAAGGAAAATAATAAATTAATTTGTACGTGCTACGACACGCCTAACATATTTTGGCGCCGTTGCCGGGGAAAGATTAACTTTTTTTGAAAATCAGTTTGCTATGTTTCCAAAAAAAATGAAAAACACAAAAAAATAAAACAAAAAAATCAATAAAGAATGAAAAGCAAAAAAAAATAAAAATAAAAATAAAAAAACCTTTAAAAAAATCAAAAACAAAAAAAAACAAAAAAAAGTGAATAGAAAAACAGAATTAAAAAAAAGTATTGGTTTCCAAGAAATAAAGTAGTTCAAACAATTATTAAAAAAACAGTTCCTGATTAATAACTAGAAATAGAAAATTTTTAGAATATTAAAATAAAAGAAGTTAAGAGTAAAACTTCAATTAGCAGAATTCCAACAGAATTTTTATGACAGAATAGTGGGCTGCTGAATTATGAACTAAAGCAACTAGCTAGCATGCTGTTGAATCCAACTTCATATTGAACAAACAAAATATAATCAAAACTGGATTCCAAATTTGCAAATTAAACTCTTTAGTATGTTCTGGGAACTGCTTTGGGATAAGTTTGGAGTTTATTGCTACTGTTTTGTGTGTTTATAGAGTTATTGTTCAAACATATGCCAAAAAGTTAGTCCAATTCAAGTGCTTTAATTGACGTCATGATGGCATGAACCAAAATGAATTGCATTTAACAACCCTGAATTTGCTAACTAGCTGATCAAAATTTTGCTTACTGATGGTCAATAGTAGCTGAGTCGCAGGATTAGTTCCGAATCTGATTATCTTTGCTTAGAATGTTTCTTCTTTATTAAGTATTTTTAAGCAGCATGATTGGTAAGATTACATTTCACCTTCTAGCTTAGAAATGGAACAGATTAGTTAGCAGGACTATGAGAAGTAACAAGAAAAATGTGCTGAAGTGGAGAAAGTTGGATGTTACACTCAGAATGCAGTAACTCAAAGAAGTTTGGAAAATGGAGATCAAGTATGATTGTTGTCCCAATCTGTAGCCTCGCCTTGAGAGTAACTTTCCCAAGCAACATATATTCCATGACCAGTAGAAGTAAAACAGTGGTAGAGCTTGAGGTGGAGCTGACCCGTAATTCTAGATTCTAGTGCATCAACTTAATGGGGGAAATAGCTCCATCTTCACAGCGGCATACAAGAGGCCAGATTCAGGAGCCAACAACTCAGATTCAAATTAAGAACTTTTAAAAGATGTGACCTCTGTGCCCAAGTTTTTAATCGAGTGATCAAATAATTGGGACAACTGCTACACTTATGGGTGCATATATGCTTTACATGAAGGTAGTGAATTGCACACCTAGGTGTACAATGTTGGTCAGGTGTCAAGGTACATACTTTTTATAAGCAAGTGCCCACACTGTACTGGATACAAAATGCTGGCAGATTCTTCTTTAAGTGCCCCTTGACTTGTGTCCCGAGAAAACAAAAGACCAGACTAAGCTATACATTCCACGTAAGTATACTGAACCCACTCTCATTTTTAGGTGGAACTCAATTTATAATCTCAATGTAACAAGGGGATTCTCCCTTTAAATGAATTACAAAATCTGTGAGAGATTGACTTCTAGGCTTGGTTTTCAAAAAAAAAATCATCGCATACTATTTTTGGTTTTCCTGGGTACCTAGTGAGCAAGTAATTGTAATGTTTTGATGATAGTTCCTAAATACATCATTACTTGTCTTACTGGATATGTGGCGTAATCCACATTTGTGTTTAAGTCATGCTTAATTGAGACAGTGATTTTGCATTGATTTAACGTGTTGGCTGTTAACAACATTGAGCATGATTAGGTCTTTTTATAAATTGCTTTTCCAAATATTATTTTAAGTGTTGGGTACATCTTAAGTTATTTGTGTTTTAAAAGTTATTACACCGCACCATAACATCTAGTTTTCAGAAATTTGATCACTTCTTGAGAATTTAAGATGTTAGAACTTTATGTGTTTATTTGGAAAATTAATTTATGAGTAATACTAAAACTTTTTTTTATTTGTTTACTTTGACCTTGTGATTAGCCATTTGGTTTGCTTTGGAGTTTTGTTTTGAGTAATCACAGGTTGATACGAGTATAATATGGATTCTCCATATTGTCCCGAGCAAAAGAGAAGTCTAGCCAAGACCATAAAGAGGGCAGCTAACTGGGAGGCAACCCAGCAATTGAAACAAAAAAAAACACTTTCTTTTAATACTTTTCACCTTACATCCTGCATTTTTTTAATTCCCCGTCCCCTTCTCTCTTGGCTCGATTCTGCAGTGGTGCTGACTGCACCTTAGATACTAAATCCTTGCCCTTGTTCATGATTTTCGTTAGTTGATGGATGTCTGATATTTACCATTGTTCTTCACTTCTTTTTCTCTCTGGAGTTGCACTGAGGACAATGCAAAAGGTAAGTGTGGGGGGGTGCTTATGAATATTTCAATCCTTCTAACTTGAAGAGACAAGGTACGCATCCCTTTAATTAGTCATCAGATCCTAGATTGCTGAAAAATAGGTTGAAATGAGGAAAGTTGCTGAATTTTGATGGTGAATTTGTCTCTTTGATTCTGATTTTATGTCTTTGGTTTGAGTCAACATATTATAACAGCCCTGATTTTTCCTCTGTCCTGACTGTTTCTCATTTGAAATGATGATTTTAGTATAAGGGGGCTATGAACATGTTGCTTTTCTGCATTCATCACATCTAGGAGGCCTTATATGCATAAAAAACTGCAAAAAACTGTCCACTTAAGCACTTTTAGGGGCTGATTTGTGAGTTTTTAAACCTGGCCAGATTGGATTGCATCTCTCTCCTTGGTATTCTGGATATTTTGAAGATGCATTAATACCTTAAAGGTTTCATACCTGCTTGCTAGAATTTTAGAAAAAGCTGCCTTTTAGATGTGATTTGGTCATAAAGTTTAAAATCTGCATTTTAGATGTGATTTGGTCATAAAGTTTAAAAAATTTTTAAGTTTTTAAAAGAAAACTTAGGTTAAAGGAAAAAAGTAAGTATCTCAATAGAAATTAGGAATCATAATGGTTTCTCTTTATCACGGCTTTTAAGTCATAGCTAATTAGAACCTATTTTCATTTAATCTCACACCTTTCAATTAGCTAAGTTCAAGGTGCACAATTTATTTAGAAGTGTGTAGAGCAATTTTTTCTAACTCTTTTTTGTCCTAAGTTGCTTTTCAAGTAAAGTTAATCTTTTGAAAATCTCTTTTCTTTTCTAAATTTTGGTTATTTACGTATTATCATGATGCTGAAATGGATAAATGTATATACTGGAACACCATCTTAGGTTGGCATGGGTGGCACGACACCTTTGTCCCCTTAAGCAACAGATGCCAAAAAGAAGTGTTGTTGTGTATGGAGAAAACCTGAGTTGGAAGAGCAAATCCCGTTTTAGGCCGTACGAATATCGTCCATAACCAGTTTAAAATAAAAAGAACCGATGCCATTTGAGCCAAAAAAAGTGCAATAAATGGCTAGGAAAAAAAGAGAAAATAAATAAATGAGTAAAAATGTTGTTTGAGCACTCGAGTTGATACCCTCGGAATACTTCGTTATTTAGGTCCTGGGCTATCTGGAATGGGTCTGGGGTAGCCTGGTTGAGACTCGCTACACGGGTCAACTCAAACAACTAAAAAAATTTAATATTAAAGTAAAGCAATAATTAAAAGTTTCCAGATTTCAGGAAAGAAAATAAATTTTCTTAAGCTTTTCTTTACTTGATTGTTTCTTAGGATTTTCTAACTACTTTTTGCTGCTCTATTTATTTCTTTTAAATTGTTCTCAATGACCTTGGTTAATTCAAAGTTTTGACATCAAATAAAAATAGTTTCTACTTAGCACTATAGTGAAAGAAGGGCTTTAAAGTTTAAAGTAGCAAGCTGATTTTTAAGGTGTTTGCTTTGTTTGGTACAATTTTAATCTCTAGTTAATGTTTTAAGCAACACCTTAGATTGTTGGAGATAAGGAAATTGTTGTAATCCTGATTTTAACAGGTATATCTTAGAGTTTTTCTAGATACCCTTAACAATACACATTATTTTCATAATCATTAATATATTCATTTTTAAATCATGGTTCAATCATTCATAATTATCATTCTAATCAGAATATACATCAATGTTTAATCAACATAATCATCAATCAATAATAATCATCATAATATTCAATAACAAACAGCGACCTAGGGTCGAGTGTTAACACCCTAGCTTACCATCATACATCAAGCAAGGTTGTTGAATCTAACAAAATATCATATTTATTTCTAGAAATTATTTTTATATTGATCATAATTGATTGGTATAAAAAATAGGATTTAATAGTTCAAAAATTAGTTTTTCTGGAAAAATATCGGATCGGACAATACCCCTCATGGTACCTCGGTATGGCTAACAGTACCTCTCATACCATCCTGACGGTACAGGGTACCGTCAGACTTGACTTCAGATACCGCAAGAGGAAGAAAATTTTCTTGGAGGAGACGGTACAAAGGCTACTGTAGCCACGGTATACCCTACCCTGCTGGCAGTATGCAGGTACCGTCCAGGCGGTAGGGTAATACCGTTCTACGTGTTAATTTTAAATAGTGTTATCTTCAACCTCGAGTCAATTTTTGGAAATTTCATTTTTAGCCACCAAACTTCAATTAAACTGTATAAAAATGTTCTTCAATGTTCAAAGATATCTTGGTATCATTAGTTCATAGTTTTAACAACAATTTCATGGTTTATGATTTTTGGTTCTTCAAACATGTCAAACACAAAACTCAGCCAAACGACTGTTTATGAACGTAAAAAGCGATCTATACGAACATTCTAGTCACTAGCTATATCTAAGGGCTTACCTCGGCTTAAATGAAGGTTTTGAGAATTTTCTAGCAAAACATCCGGCGACGATTGCTCCCAACTCCAGCGATCTCTCACGAAATTGAAAGCACTAGTTCGTTCTCCTCACTCAGAGCAATAGAATAGAAGGAAGAATGAGATGATTTGGTGAAGCATTAAGGGAGTTGAAGTGGGCTTATATAGGAAGAAGAGAAGAGGAGAAGACTGTTACTGAGTTGCTGCTGCATAGGATTCCAATTCACGATCTTCATTCGGCAGAAATTTGATTTTAGGCGATTTAGTACGCTACTCCTTGATTCGGACAAATTTTGGTCCAACTTTCTCTGAATTGAAATTCCTTTGCACCGTTGCAAACTAGGGATGGCAATTCAACCCGAACCCGAGCTTAACCGACCCGACCGACCACTAAAATATCCAAACCCGAACCGAGAATAAAATAATCCGAACCCGACCCGAAATTTTTTACCCGAACCCGACATCGGGTCGGGTCGGGTGTGGGTTTATTATTTTACCCGACCGACCCAAACCCGAACCCGACCCGACTCAAACCCGAATATTTTATAACATAAAAGCCTATTTATGGATATAATGAGCATTCCATATAATCTCTTGACAAAGTGCTACTATATCAAATATGCCTTTTATAATCATTTTTTATAATTTCTTAATAAAAAAATGAGATACAAAAAAAAATTAGATGTAATCTTTTCTAAAATTATTGAGGTACGCCGAATTGATAAATGGTTAAAAGTCGGGTTCGTGTTGGGTTCGGGTTTCTGGTTGGAATGTCGGGTTCGGGTCGGGTTCGGGTTTTGGCTTAAAAAGTCAGGTTTCGGGTCGGGTTCGGGTATAGTACTATCCGACCTGAACCCGACCCGTTGCCATCCCTATTGCAAACAGATAGTTAAATTCTATTCAAAGATATAATTTTTATATTTATTTGGAATACTTTTTTGGTCATCATATTTTTTTGGGTGTTTGACTTTGACAGAATAAAATTGATTTAGTTGACCTTTATTCAAGAAGGTTCTCACATTCAATTCATATTACTTATTCTCATATTTTATTTCAATAAATCATTTCAAAGTTTGCATCATAAATAACTTCTTTATTTATTATTCTTAATTTGGGTACGTACTCTGGTTCCCAATCAAGATTATACAAATAATAAACATATTGGATTTCTCTCTATGAGATTTATCCAGATTGTGATATTGGATATCAAAATGTGTTTCATTTCAGCCCAATGCCTAACAATAATTTTTTAATAAAATAAATTTGTTCAATCAAATAATTATTCATTAATAATTTTAGGGTATGTTTTAGGGTGTTAGACATGCTCTTATTCATATATTTTTATATTTTACACATATATTGTTTGGACCAAAAAATACACACTCAATTGGTTTTGGTCTATCAAATGGTGCTCTCATTGAGAGTGGAAATAATGCCCAAAGGAGTATCCTCTATCACGTACGGGTTATGAGCATTACTCTTCTAAAAAAAGATACAAGTTGTGAGATTGCTGAGTTCTTGCGTTGAGACCTTTTCGGATTCCGCCGCGATTCGCCTCACCGATGATCGTTGCGGGTCGGCTCACTCCTGACCACCGCAGGTCGGCTCACCGCTGACCGCTGCAGGTTCGCTCACCACTAACTGCTGCAGGTCGCCTTACTGCTGACCGACTGCCATGGGTCGCCCCGCCATGGATCGTTGATTTACCACCGCTGGTCGCCTACCCGTCGCTGCTCCAAAACACTAGAAAACACCATTGCATGTAGCCAGGATTACCGCCGCATGTGACCTCTGACCTCCCAACACCCTACAAATCTTGTAGTCACCAGACTTATATTCTAAAGCTTGCAGGATGGTTGCTGATTTCATAGATCCTACGCCGCTACTAGTTGCCTAATTGTTAACAGCTGATTGCTATTGGTCATCACTTTACCCCTGACCGGCGTAGATAATTATTGAGCTAGCGCCTGGGTCACGAGATTTCCAACTGCCACCATCGATGATCGGACGATCTTGCAAAGCTCCATATAATTGGTGGGCCGCCAAAAATCACCATTGGTAACCGCTGTCCACCGCAATCCACCGAAGTCGTTGCCAAAATTGCCGGACCCCCATGCATCTCAATGGTCCTGATTCCTTTGTTGCGAACCGCCATGCATGCATCTCAATTGTTGTGGTTCCCTTTGTTGCGGATCTCACTTGTGGTCTACGAATGGTCTTTTTTCGCTGATGCACGCATGACATAAATCTCGGGCCTCCTGCCCCTTGTCACTCCAGAGTTTGGTCATACGGTCTCCTCCTGGGCTTGATTATTTGCGATTTATGCATGCTAAAAGGCTGAGGATATGTCCGAATCAGATACCCAACAAAATCTTCCACATGTATAAAGTAAAAATGAATGATATGGATCACACGTAGTTGTAACAAGCCAATTGCGGCATAAAAAATTAAAAAAAAAGGGATGAAAAATAGGAAACACCGTTGGACATGTGTGCCCACATGTGGATAACTTGTTTGAAGCCACATGCCCACAAAACAAAGACACAAACAAAATTGAAGATGACCAAAGTGAGGCTCACACTAAGCATTGTGTCACAAAATCTTCCGTCTATTAGAGTTTGATGTTCGACCTCTAAATTTGAGGGGTCACGCCTTAAGGAACTCAAAAACTTTGGATGACATGCCAAATGCAAGCCTTGTGAAAATCACTACGGAAATGCTAAAATTGGCTAAGTCATAAGAGTTCGCAACCCGGGATGAGTGGGTGCATTCTCCCAAGTCATCGATGTAACAACTAAAACAAAAGGCAAAGCCTATCTAAGCCCACAAGAGTGGCACCCAACTAAACCATCACAAATACAACCTCCCTAGAGATATTCATCAAGGTTCTCTCCCGAGGGCGACCCAAAACCACCTCACGAGGCTTTAATTAAGCCCTTGTCCTACAAGCCACAAAAATCCTCCCCGAGGTCGGCCCAAAACTACCTTGCGAGGCTTCAATTAAGCCTTCGTCCTACAACAACAACAACCAAGTTGAATCCCATAAGAGTAGGGTCTAGGGAGGGTGTGTGTACGCAGACCTTACCCCTACTCGAAAGTAGAGAGGCTGTTTCCCAAGAGGCTCCCAGCTCAACGTCGAAAGTTGGATAGATAGACTAATTACTACTTCATTAATTAAAGAAGCACACACAATTTAGAGATTCAATTAAGCCCTCGTCCCACGAGGCACAAAAGTCTTCTCCTGATGTCGGTCCTCAACCACCTCATGAGGCAACAAAATCCCTTCTCTTTTGAGGTTCCTAAGTCTTTTCCCAAAGTTGGTCTTGGCCACTTCACGAGGCAACTACGTCTCCCCCGAGCAACATGAGTCCTACAGTTTGGATGATAAAAAAGTCCTCTCCTTGAAATACTACGAGCCATCCCAAGGACTTCGTTGTTGTTTGACAAGGCAAGTATAGTGTTTCTAACTTCTTTTATAGGTACTCGAAGAAGAGAAACTTAAGAAGTCAAGTTTTGGGCTCCATGCCTCGAACCTAAACTAGCATAAGCTTCAAGGGATGCCGGAGCATAAGAGACTACCAATTGAAGAAATCATAGAGACGATAGTAAATTATAGTTGGGAACAACCTCTGAAAATTTCAGCCAGTAGCAGAAACTAAGGAAACTATAATATATAGTTTCCTTAAGCCAGTAGCAGGAAGCCAGTAGCAGGTTTGTGCGGCTGGTCTGTAAATTCTGCACCAGCACCTTTCCTCTCTCTATTCTGTTTTTGTTTCTCTGTTTGCTCTCACTCTGTTTCTTCCGTAAGCACTGCCACTGCCCAGCCCTTTTACTCTCCTTTTTTTAGTCAACAAAGTAAAAACATAATTGGGCCCTCCACCAAAGAAAAATGGAACCCAAATGAAAATGGGCTGGACCCACAACAATCTCCCCCTCCAACCCAATTCGGGGAAGATCATACGCAAACGACGTCAAGAAGACATACCTGCAAGCTTGGAACAAAACTCAAGCTTGCTTCCGGGAACCACCTTTGTCAACATATCAGCACCATTCTTGTTTGTGTGAATCTTCTTTAACTTCATTAGTTGCTTTTCAATGATATCACGCAACCAATGATACCTCACATCAATATGCTTTGTGCGAGCATGATACATGGTGTTTTTGCTCAAGTCTATAGCACTTTGACTATCGCAAAACACAACATACTCACCTTGCCTCAATCCCAACTCTTGAAGGAAACGCTTCAACCAAATCATCTCTTTGCCTGCTTCCACTGCTGCTATATACTCTGCCTCAGTTGTTGACAAAGCTACACACTTCTGTAGCTTGGATTGCCATGAAATGGCTCCCCCTGCAAATGTAAACAAATAACCTGAGGTAGACTTTCTATTATCAAGATCTCCAGCTATGTCAGCATCTGTAAATCCCTCAAGAATAGGCTCGCCGCCTCCAAAACACAAACTCAGCTTTGAGGTGCCCCGCAAATATCTCAAGATCCACTTTACAGCTTCCCAGTGAATCTTGCCTGGATTAGCCAAGAATCTGCTAACCAATCCAACAGCATGTGCTATATCCGGCCTTGTACACACCATAGCGTACATCAATGAACCAACAGCAGAAGAATAGAGAATATGAGACATGTTTTCTTTCTCTTTCTCAGAACTAGGACAAGAACGCTTGCTCAACTTGAAATGACCGGCAAGTGGTGTATTAACCGGCTTGGCATTCTTCATATTGAACCTTTCAAGCACCCGTTCAATATACTTCTCTTGTGACAGCCAAAGCTTACTAGCTTTTCTATCACGAACAATTTCCATGCCAAGGATTTGCTTCGCAGGACCCAAATCTTTCATTTCAAAGGACTTTGACATATCCTCTTTTAACCTGCGAATCATCTCAACATCTTGTCCCACTATCAACATATCATCAACATACAAACAAAGGATAATGAAGTTATCATCAGAGAACTTTCTAAAATACACACAAGGATCTGCAGTAGTAGGCAGTAGTACGCCTGTACCCATTGCTACTCATGAAGGAATCAAACTTGCGGTACCATTGCCTTGGTGCTTGCTTGAGCCCATAAAGACTCTTTTTCAGCTTGCAAACAAAATTCTCTTTTCCTTTGACTTCAAATCCTTCCGGCTACTCCATGTAAATTTCATCATCCAAATCACCATGTAAACATGCAGATTTTACATCAAGCTGCTCAAGCTCAAGATCCAAACAAGCCGCTAGTCCCAAAATCATGCGAATGGAAGTCATCTTCACGACTGGTGCAAAAATTTCATCGTAATCGATGCCTTTCTTCTGATGGCATCCCTTCACTACCAGTCTTGCCTTCCGTCTCACTAGCTTTTGGCCATCTTTCTTGTTCTTGAACAACCACCTGCTCTTCAAGACTTTCTTCCCTTTTGGACGCTTCACCAAGTCATATGTTTGATTCTTCTTCAAAGAATCCATCTCCTCTTGCATAGCCTTCAGCCAATGGTCTTTGTCTGGATGTGACAAGACCTCTTTAAGGCTTTCAGGCTCTCCCTCATCAGTGAGTAGGATATATTCTGAACTTGGATAAAGTCTTGAAGGTTGTCGAACTCGGGTTGACCTTCTTAATGTTGGCTCTTCCACCTGTGGGCTGTTTTGCTCCCCCCTGATTAGAAAACTCTCCACTTTCAATTTCAACAGCTTCATCATCAGGTTGTGGCACAATCTCTGGTTGTACTTCTTCAATACGGTCATGTTCATGAGTATTTTCATGACCATCATCGGGAGCATCACCTGTTTGTTGAACATCTGGAACAGAAACATGAGGCATATCAATAACACCATGAGATAAATCAGGATAATAAGTATTACCAGCCCCTAAGAGATGAAAACCCATCTCGTGCTCGTAAAATACAACATCTCTACTCCTCACAACTCTTTTCTTTGTTGGATCATAAAGTCTGTAACCAAACTCTTCATCACCATATCCAACAAACACACAAAGAGAAGTTTTGAAGTCAAGCTTCAATCTCTGTTCCTTCGGTACATGCATAAAGGCCTTGCATCCAAACACCTTCAAATGGGAATAAGAAGGATCTCTCCCAAACCAAACTCTCTCAGGAAGATCAAACTCCAAGGAACTGATGGCGCTCTGTTTATCAAGTACACAGCTGTTCCAACTGCTTCTCCCCAAAATGACTTAGGAAGATTGGACATCCTAAGCATACATCTCACTTTCTCAACAATAGTTCTGTTCATCCTCTCGGTAACACCATTATGTTGTGGAGTACCAGGTTCTGTTCTTTCATGCCGAATGCCATATCTTGAACAATATGCTTTAAACTCATTTGAAGTATATTCACCTCCATTATCAGTTCAGAGACGCTTCAGTTTGCAATCTGTCTCCCTTTCCACCATGGCATGATACTTCCGAAAGATGCCAAACACATCGCTTTTGTGCTTCATCATATAAACCCAAGTTCTCCGAGTAGCATCATCAATAAAAGTAACAAAGTATTTGTTACCACCAAGTGAATCCACCTCAATAGGACCACACACACCAGAGTAAACCAACTCTAACTTAAGTTTCTTTCTCCTGGATCTCATCGGAAAAGAAACTCTATGCTGCTTTCTTGCTAAACAATGATCACAAGGGTCAAGTGAAATGGTAACATCGGCAGGAATAAGAGACTTACCAGCCAACAACTTTATGCCCTTCTCACTAACATGGGTTACATGGCCCAATCTGCGATGCCATAAGTTAGGAGAAGTTTTCTCCTCAACAACATTCAACTCACTAGTACACACTTTCAAGTGTCTTATACAAGGTGCAACAAAGCTTGCCACGAGCAACAGTCAAAGAACCCTTTGACAATTTCCATTTACCCTCACCAAAAGTATGCTTGTAACCTTCTTGATCAAGTACATTAGCAGACAACAAATTGAGGCGTAGATCTGGAATGTGGCGAACATCTCTCAAAGTCATATAGCACCCAACACTGGTTTGAACCCGAATATCTCCAATTCCAACAATACTTGCTGAACTCTGGCTTCCCATCTTCACACTACCAAAATCTCCAGCTCGGTAGTCAATAAAGTACTCCTTATGAGGAACACAATGATAAGAAGCCCCTGTGTCAACAAACCATTCAGAATCAGAATTATCAACATGACAACAATCACCTGCAGTACAAACCAATGAAACACCATCATCTGAAGTAGAAGCTGTCGCCATTGTATTCTTGTCATCACCCTCTTTGTGATGATCATTTTTCTTCTTTTGTTGGTCTCTTTTCATCTTGTAGCAAAACTTTTGAATATGGCCAGGTTTGCTACAATAGTGACATATGGTGGGCTCTCTCCCATCCTTGGACTTAGACCTGTACTTTGACTTGCCACGCCCCTTGGGACCTCTGCTTTTGCTTCTTCCTCTATTCTCTACCACAAGTGTCTGTGAAATGTCAACACCCATCTCCTTTCTTCTAAGCTCTTCATTGAACATGCTCTCTTTAATGACATCCAATGAAAGCACACCATCTGGAGCTGAGTTGCTGATAGACACAATCAAAGTCTCCCAACTATCTGGCAAAGAACTCAATAGGAATAAAGCCTGCAACTCATCATCAAAAACAATTTTCATCACAGTCAACTTGTTAATGATATCTTGAAAATCACTAAGATGCTCAGAAACAGATTTTCCCAGCTTCAACTTGAGACTAACAAGCCTCTTAATCAACGAGGCCTTGTTATGAGCAGTCTTTCTCTCATAAAGACCCTCCAATTTTCTCCACAACTCGAGTGGCTCAGTCTCTTGGGATACATGATTGAATATGCTAATATCAATCCACTGTCTGATAGTCCCCAAGGTCTTTCTCTTCAATTTTTCCCATTCTTTATCTGTCATCTTCTCTGGTTTAGTGGGCATGTCATCCTTCTTGGTTTTATCCACATCAATTGGGTCAAACAAATCATTACAATATAACAAATCTTCCATCATAGGACGCCAAATGGAATAATTGGTTGATGTCAATTTAACCATAAAATTATTTCCTGACTTCATATCTACGGTTTAAACCTTTGCTCTGATACCAAATGTTGGGGGAGAAGCAACAAGTAGGATACGACAACCAACCAAACACTTAACCCAATTTACCACAATTGATTAACCAAGCACACAAAATCAGCAGCACATCAAATAAACCACAACCAAATATGAAGAATAAAGATGCAAACGACACACGATTTTTATACGTGGAAAACCCCTTCGATGTGAAGGATAAAAACCAAGGGACTTATAGGGAGTCCGCCCTCTTCTTCTCTTATTATGAAAATTGAGGGTAAAAACACCCAAACTCAGTCTACAAGGATGTCACAGCCCACCAACAACAACATACATAAGAGCCATCAACAATAGAGAAGAAAAATCAGAGATATCACCCAAAAACGCAGCGTCGCACCAGCTGCAATTACAGAAGATCCGTAGCTCCGATTGATGTGAAAATTGAACTGATTGAAGCCCTAAGTGTTGGGAACAACCTCTGAAAATTTCAGCTCAATCCAACGGTCGGATCTCCGGCGATGATCGAATTTGTGCGGCTGGTCTGTAAATTCTGCACCAGCACCTTTCCTCTCTCTATTCTGTTTTTGTTTCTCTGTTTGCTCTCACTCTGTTTCTTCCGTAAGCACTGCCACTGCCCAGCCCTTTTACTCTCCTTTTTTTTAGTCAACAAAGTAAAAACATAATTGGGCCCTCCACCAAAGAAAAATGGAATCCAAATGAAAATGGGCTGGACCCACAACACCCATGCACATTCGAAAATCATCCATCATATTGGTTTTGGCCATGCTTTAAGACAGGGAAAATGCTAGGGTGCCACCACATGGGTGCTACCATGGGTGCACCCATGCTTCGCACAGACAAACACAGACGATAATTGTGATAGGCCATCTGCAATGTATACACACTCTTCACTGCCACATTATAAATAAGTATGAAATTATATGCTCTTCACTGCCACAATATGTTTGAGATTGAATTTAGTGCCCTAACACATACAACTCTAAAAAAAGAGCAGAATTCATTTTAAGCCGTGAGATTTAATTTTTTATGGTAATTATACACTGCAATATGTAATCTCTACACTGCTAGAATATGTACTTCCAAAAATTCAATGTGTAAATACACTGCCACAATATATACACTGCGACAAAATATACACAATGCCAAAAACTCAGTTTGAAATACACTTCCACAATATATACACTGACACAATATATCTACACTGCCACAATATATACACAGCCAAAAATTCACTGTCGTAGTACACTTCCACATTTCACAAGGAATTTAATAAGAATTAAAAGAATGAAACTTATACCTTATTTACTTTTTGCAATTCAATAAGAATTAATTTAATAAGAACTAAATTAAAAGAATGGAGTGCAATTAAAAGAATGGAGTGCAATTATGTGCTGCTATTACGTGCGGCTATAGATTTAATAATGGAGTGCAACTACATGCAGCTATAGATTGGAATACTGCCGAAATTTTTAATGGAAAAAACAAAAAGGAGTAAAGGGTATGATAGGAAAGGATTGACACCATAAATTGCTAAATTTGTTAAAAACAATGAGTAGTGCTAAATGCGTATTTTAGGGTGAGTTAAAGTGCTATGCAGGGTGATTTCTTTATACTTTAAGGATACGATCTATCCACTTCAATCGAAGCTTTCGAATGAAATGGAATGTCCCTCATGGTTAAGTTAATATACATTTAGAGGTACCCCGGAGTATATTTTAAAAATGTGAGTTACCAGACAATTAATTTCTTAAAATAGAGGGTACCCCGGAGTATATTTTAAAAATATGAGCTACTTGACAGTTCGTTTCTCAAAATAGGGGTACCACGCACAATTTTCTAAAGTTTTTTTAGAATTTAGATTTTGAGGATTCATTAGTCTAAGTAGAAGATTTAAAATTTGTATATTTTTTAAATCACTTTTTTTGTAATATAATATCGTCTTAATTGAAATAATAAATGCTTTTTTAGAACACAGTTTTTTCGTGCGCTTTAGGTTCATGCTCATTTCATATACTCCCTTCGTCCCGGAGTATTCGTCCAGTTTGGACTTTTAGAACTATTCATCTAAGCACTTTGACTCATCAAAAATCTCTCAATGTGTAAGCCTAAATATAGGCATGTGTGATCTTGTTTGATTTGTCTTAACATATAGATTATTAATATATAATTTCTATAATTTTTTAATATACAAATTACAAGATAAAATGGATTAAAGAAGTGCATTGGATGTTGTGTAAAAATGAAAGTGGACAAATATTCTGGGACGGAGGTAATACCTTAGAGCAAGAATAACATAAATAAATTGGACTTTTTGTTAAAAAAGAAATGAAAATACAACTCTTTTTATAACAGATCTTATATGGAGTGTGTGTTAAGTGGGGGTCTTCCTTTGTTTGACCATTCTGTCTATTCCAATTTTTCTAATTTTCTTTATTTTCAGTTTTACTTTTCTGTTTAATCTATGGCTCTTACGGTGGATTCGACCTCTTCTTTATCAATCCCATTAAAAATATAAACTACTACCTCCGTCCCAGAGTATTTGTCCACTTTCATTTTTACACATCATCCAATACACTTCTTTAATCCATTTTAGCTTGTAATTTGTGTATTAAAAAATTATAGAAATTATATATTAATAATCTATATGTTAAGACAAATCAAACAAGATCACACATGACTATATTTAGACTTACACATTGAGAGAATTTGATGAGTCAAAGTGCTTAGATGAACAGTTCCAAGAGTCAAAACTGAACGAATACTCCGGGACGGAGAAAGTATAATTTTTGTATAAGCTAAGTCAAAGTAAAGAGTTTGGATAAATTTATAAGGAATTAGCTTTCTGTTCACATTATAACAATATATAGAAAATTAAGTGATTGTTTCTTTGTGCTTAAAAGTTGTTTTTAACTTATAAGGGCATCTCCAATGCATCAGCCATAGTGTAAAAAATGAAACTTATAGCTATTACTGTAGCGTTTTTGACACTCCAACGGGGCTTCCAAAATTTAGAGCACAAGCTATATATGGATTTAGATCTTCCATTAATAGCTGTTTACTGTAGGCTAGTCAAAAATAAATTGGAGTAAAATAACGACAAGTGGAGGCACAGGTGCATCGGGAGTGAAGAAACAGATATAAAGAGTGGTCGGATCCGGTGCTTTGTGAGCGGTGCTTTTGCGGAACAGAGATAAAAAAAACAACTATATGGCCGGAGCGATTGCCGGAGCTAATCAAATATAATGGTTTGTTCGATGGCAACCGGTGTTAATGTGGCCAGAGCGATTGCCGGAACTATTGCTTCTAAATTCTTAAATAAAGAAGGATGATAATTAAAGTGAGATAAAAGAAGGGAGAGACATAGATAAAGAGCATCTCCGGAGCTACTGCCTGGAGTGATTGCCGGAGGATTTTTTTCCCAACCAGTGCCTTTTTACAGAAAGATAAAGAAGGGAGAAGTAGATAATGCAAGGTAGCTAAAATCAAATAAAAAAGATGTGGTTGGAGCACATGTAAAAAATTGAGCTTCCATACCACTGTAGATAGTCTAAAAGTAATTTATAGCTTCCCATTTTTAAAAGCTGCGTTGGAGATGCTCTAAGTCAGGAGATGACATGTTTCTGAATGCTTATAAGCTGACTTATAACTCAGAAAAAATAAGTATGTCTTACATACTTATTTTTAAATTAGATTTTTCGTTTCTCCGCTTTGACCTGATTACTTGCAAAACTTTTCCTCCCCCAATATGAATATTCCCAAATGAGTTATATACTCCGTATCATTCAAGTCATTTTATCTATATGAAATAATTTTTAACTTATAAGCAAGTTATAAGTTAAAAATTATTTATAAGGAATAAGTTAATAAGCACAAGCACAGAAAAACACCAACTAAATTAGAATTATAACTCCAAATCTAACTTTTATAAGTTTCTTTTCAGTATGTGGCTTGAGACTTGAGAGATGTCTTTGTTTTTTGGTTTGTATCTTAGCTTGATTTTTGTTAAAGCTTTTAATAGTAGGATTTAAAATAAAAGCCTCAACAAATCTTTCATGAAGGGCAAGTTGCAGTTTTGTACTTGTTTTGAATGTATATATTGCCTCTGTCCTAAAACGTTATTCGCAGTTACTATTCACACAGTCAAACTTTAATCATTTTTTTAATCTATTTCGTAACTTTCGTTAGGTAATTAGTAAAGTAATATATTCTTGTCACCTCTTATTTTGTAGAACTTTTGATGTAGTTTTTTAAATATATAATTTTTTTTTTTTAATTTTACACATACAATCAAATAATTTGAATTGAAAATAAAGTAGGAATACCTCCTCCATCTCTTAAACTAAATCTCCTTTCTTTTTTTCTTATCCCACAAACTCTTTTCTTTTTTTCTATTAAAAAACTACTTTCCTCTCAATTAATTTTTATCCTATCTATCATATCATACTTTTTTTATTAATAATCTAACTATTACATTCTACTTTTACTCATCACATCAAAGATATATCTAAAAAGTCAACACAAAAATATGTCTCTCTTAAATTCTTAAAAAGTCAATAAGAGGAAAAATTAAAGGGACCGAGGGAAAATTAGCCATTAGGTTACATAACAAACATATTTACACTAATCTTTTTGCACTCTTTTGAATCATAAATAATACGGAGTACTCCGTATTATCTAATTCTGGGCAACCGCGCACATCTTGCGTCTCGAAGCTAGTCTTGAAATAGATCTGAAGATTTTCTTAATTTTGAAGACTTTCAAAACCAACACACACATAAAAGGCACAACAAAACCAGCCACACAAAAATAGCAACCACTCAAAATATGCAACACCTGTATGTGTGTATTTCTATATATGTGTCTTAGGACCATGCTAGAGTACCCCCAAATGGTTACTACCATGAGTACACCCAAGCTTCACAGAGATGCCACAGATGATAATCATCTCTGCGACACAGATGATCATTTGTGCAAACCTTGGGTGCACCAATGGTAGCAATCATTTGGAGGCACCCTAGCATTTTCCATGTGTCTTATTGCTTTCACTAGATGCACAGGTGAGACAAACATTGTGAATTACATAATAAAACTGTCCAAATACAGAAACACACACATTTTTTCGGGACAGGCAAAAAAGAAAAACAGACACCGCTTTTGAACAATGGGAGTAACATAGTAAGAATTATGGGCAAAGGGAAAACAAAAATACAGAATACTATAAAAAGCACAATGCTTTTGTCACAAAGTTATGAAGATACTTGACAAATTGGGAACATTCACACTACCGCCGATTGCACACTTGGTTTGGGATCACTGATTTTGTCCACAATCACTTCCAGTCCAAGCAGTAACACCCTTGCACTTTTAAAAAAAACAGAGTAAGTTACTACCAGAGTAGGCACAAGCACAACAGATGCAACAAGAACAAACCTAGTAAAATCACACAAGACATAAAGAGGTTTCCGAGAGACATCCGACTCAACATACAAGCACAGATTAGCACAAAAGACGCAATGAAGAATATTTAGGTGTCAACCCCACCCACTACCCTTTTTTAAAGGTATAAGGTTTGCATCCATCAACCCTAGACCCCAACTTGTGGGATTTAGAGGGTTGTTTTTGCTGTATTATATGTATGCATAGAAGTGTGTGTGTATGTGTGCGCGCATGTGTGTGTCCCATTTTGATAATAAGAAGTAATAGTTATGTGGGAAATACTCGTATATCTTTATACATGTGGATGTCAAAAGTTTGAATTTCCTAGTTGATGCTATTTTTCCGTGTAGTATGTTTATATGTTCCTCCCTCCCTCTGGATTTAGTTGTCCATTATCTTATCTTTGCATGTCCAGAAATAGTTGTCCGATTTCCATATTCTTTTAATTTACGATGAATTATAAAACATCAGAGGTAGGGTATTAGCATTATTGACTAATAATGAAAAAAAAACAACAACAATAATACTCCCTCCGTCCTAAAATATTCTTTCTGTTTCCGTTTACGAGATTTGTTCGACTTTATTTTCAATTCAATATATATAATTGTAGGTGTAAAATTAAAAAATAAAATTTATATATTTAAAAACTACATCAAAAGTTCTACAAAAAAAGGTGACAAGACTACTATTTTATCAAATAACTAAAGAAAATAGGTAAAGAAAGTGATTAAAGTTTGATCATGTGAACAGTAACTAGGAAAAATGTTTTACAGCGGAGGGAATAATAATAATAATAATAATAATAATAATAATAATAATAATAATAATAATAATAATAATAATAATAATAATAATAATAATGAGAATAATAATGAGAATGAGGGACAAACTCATTTGAAGGATTTATTCGACATTTTAAACTCATTTCTTAAAAATGTGATTCTTCAAAAAGCGAACAACTAAATCGGGACATGAAGTACTTAATGGCGGTTTACTTGACAATAACCTGACCGTATTACGTGAAAAGTCTCTACCTACACATTAAAATGCAACACACTTGAGCCTCACCTTTTTAATTCAAATTTTCTTTGAAATCTCATAACAAATGTTAGATTAAACATTTTGAAAAGTTCAATTTAACACATAATTTGTGAGATGCATGTGCTAGTGCTAGTGCTACCTTATAGTATTAGCTCCACCTGCCCTTTTTTTTGCATATGCCACTCAGTCTGTATGATGCCACCCAGAGTAATTTGTTCCGTTTTCATCCTCGTCTGCTGCTGCAGAGCTACTAGTGTTCTGATTGGATGAGCGAAAAGGCCATAAGAACGAGAAAGGATTCCTTCTTCCCTGGTTCTGGTTGTTGTTGCTGCTGAGCCCTGTGTTGTTGCTGCCTGACCCACTGGATCTTGAACTCCAATCGATGCGCCTTCTTCCAGAAACATGTGGTGGTAGTTCAAGGCGGCAAACTGGGCAAGAGTTGTGCTGGACCAGCCAAGGAACAATACAATCAGAGTGATATAAGTGGTTACATGGCATCTGCCTGGCTTCACACCCCAACTCAAACTCATCTTGACAAACTGGGCAATGTGAATCAGCACTCGTATGCCTCTGGGTAATCCTGATGGTGGGCATGGCATCAATTGCAGAACGTGGTGCCGGTGGTGGGCCCTGTCTGCCATTCATACTAAGCTGCTCAATCAAATGCTGCAGTCCAGACCCCATAAAGAAGTCATCAAGATTAGCTTGGCGATGTCCCGTTCTTGAACTTCCATTGAAAAAGTACTCAAACGCATCATCGGGCGCCATACGAACAGGAGATTGACCATGAAATACCAGCCATGGGCCAGATGGCCCAGAACCAAAAGCCATATTGTTTTCTGGCAAAATGCCAGATCTTGACCGAATATCATAATTGGGGTTTCTTCCGGCCATTCTTTGCCTCACGAATGCTTCAAGTGCATCCACTAATCCTGGGTCAGGGAAAGTTTCCCTCAATCTAGAGTGATTATGATTATCATCATCATCCATAACTGAACCAAAATGTCCATGTTCTCCGCCTCTCACTACCTCACTGAGATCTTGCACAAAACCTCCTTGGCAGTATGGGCAAAGAACATCAGACCCTCTAGGCTTAATCGGCTGTGTGCACTGGTAACACCAGTGTGTGTACCTCCCACTTGACATCTTCAATAACTACTAAGAAACAAATGCTATATCTAAAGACCAGTTCCAGGAGTCATCCAGCATCAAATGCTAACAATTTGATAATAACCAACCACTGCAACAAAACTAACAAGAAATACTAACTGAAAGCTATTTAATATGTAAATCATAGACAATTATACACTGCTCAAACAAACACTTATAACAGAATAACTTTTTAGCATCCACATTGGTTTGAATGTGTTCAAGTATGGTATATACGGTGTAAACTAACAATGTATTACTATCTATAGAGGTAAGGTGTGCGAACATCTTACCCTCCCCAAACTCCGCTTGAGAAATCACACTCGGTCTGTTGCTGTTTTTCGTGTGGTTATCACAATCTGTGGTTTGTTAAGGTATCCCCATCTGGGACGGAGGGAGTATATCTCTAAATTTAGTTCTCTACTTTCCAAAATATCTCATCTTGCCCTTCATTGATGAAAATAATGCTAATATGCTCTTTAAGGGATACTTTTTACACATCACAATCGTTCTACTACTAAATATGATAATTGGACAACTAATTTTGATTGCTCCAAAAAGGAAAAGTGGACAACTGACTCTAGCCTCCAGGCTAAGTACTTTTTTGGTTTTTGCTTAGGATATACCTTAATAGTCCACAACAAAAGTGGCACAATTTGAAAGAAAGCTTCACTTCACAAGGCACATATCATATGCATAAAGAACTTCATTCCTGTGTCTACACCAAGACCGAAGGAGGGAACTCAGAACTAAAGTTAAGTGAAGGTATTTCTCCCTCTCATTATAAAGTAATAAAACTGAAAGATGATATTCTTCAAAATACAAGTAAATCTAAGCGGAAGGACCTCTTTGTAGCATGAAGTTCTGCAACTATCTTCAGGAAAGAAGCACAATTCTTCACCAAATCTGGAATAAGAAGTATTTACGAACTTTTCAAAATTTTACCCGACTAAAAGACGGAAAGGCGCACTTAGTTGAAGAATCTCTCCTACATAGATTTAAACAGTAAATCTGTCTAAATGTCTAATCATACACAAATGCTCCAGATTTCAACTCAAGAAAAATACAAAAGGAGCAATAAAAATCAGGTCATAACCTAAATCCGGAACAGATTCAACTGAGATAAAAGTATAATCACTTCAAAAACCGACAGAGCTGCTCAGAAGCATAATTGAAATGGATTAATAGCGGAACAGAGCTTAAATAAGGGGTTTGGAAAGGGAATTACTATAGAGAACAAAGAACTTACCAGGCAGAAATGGGTAGATGGTCAGTGGGGAGGAGGATGGGTTGGAATGGGAAGAAATTGGGATGTAGCGAAGACGATGATGTCGTTGCGATTCGAGAAAATGCCTGATCGGTTCCTAATCATGGCAAAAAGAAAGAGCATGACTTCAAATTTACTGCTACAGTTCTTCTCCGCGAGACGAGAAGTAAAGAGATGTACGGGTCGGATTTCCAAGTCTAACGCGTTTTGTAGAAATAATTCTAGAAGGTTTAAGCAATTTTCATCTCATTCTCTTTTTTGTTGGGGTAGAAACCCATGACGGACTACAAGTCTACAACACATCTATACTATATACAAAAGCAAAAGAATTGAAGGAATAAAAAAAGAAAAAAATTGTGTTTTCTCGTCCAGTTATCAACCGTTGATAAGCCCTTTGGAATATTTCATCAACGGCTTTTATCAAGCCTTGGAAATTGAATCCGCCGCATTAATTTTGTCAGCAGCCCACTTTGGTAACATACTTTGGTAAATGTACTCCGTATTTAATATGGATTACTCCAAATTTGTTTGCACCCCTTCGTTTCTTAAAATGTTTTTTCTTTTATTATTTTTGTTTTTTTGAAAATACAAACATTTTTTTATTAAAAAACCATTTTTTATATATCATGTCAAGCATAAAATTGGAGAGTCAACTACAAATATGCACTTTTTATTTTTCCTAAAAGTCAAAATAAGAATCGTTTTTTTTAAATGGAGGGCATACTATATAGAGCATGTTTTATGGGTGTGGTTAATCATAAAAGATCAGATAGTTGGTTCAATACTGGTTTGTATCTCAAATCAGCCAGTACGGATCTGAAACTAAGAAAATTAAAAAAATATTTGCACTAAGTAGCACTAAAACTTAAGTCATTTCTCTAAATAGCAGTTAAATTTTTTTATTCCCTAAATAGCACTTAATACTGTCTAGAAGGAGGAATAATGTCCGGTGATGGTTACTTGAATAATGACTAATCGATAATGACTAAAAGTACTACATTAAAAAAACACTATGTTTTAATGGTATTTAAGTAAATTCCCAATAAAAATAAAACAATATTTATAAATTTTGTAATTAATAAGAACTTGGTGTAAAAATACATCTCAAAATTGGAGTTAAAATAGAGGATTCATAATCATTTGTAATCCATAATATCATTAAAGTTAGTTTAGTTGTAAATTCTTAATGGATTTAACTTTAATTTAACTATAGTTCCATTGCACTCAGATGAAATTGGAATTTAAATACTTTTACTTTTATTTAAAATCTCCTTTATACACCTACTGATTATAAATGTGTCTCTCTCATCTTATCCATTTAATACCTGTATTAATTTACTAATTGCATTGTCATACTCTACATTAAAGTAAAGGAGAAAGACCAAAGTATGACTAAAAAATTTAAAATATACCAAAATAGGACTTACATTACCAAACATGATCATGTATATTACAAAAAAAGTATGGTAATGTACACATGTATAGTGACACATTACTACAGTGCAAAATACTATTTTGAGAAAAAATTGAAAGTCCGATTTTGATACTTTTCTCTATATTTTAGTTCTATTTAGGGTAATTTCTATTAAAGTAACAAAAAATTGAAAAGTGACTCTAATTTATACATTCCTTAAATCTTATCTTTTTGAGTTCTTCTATGGTGCACCTTGGGTGCATACCATTTTTTGTGGACCTTTTCACATAAAAAATCCTTTTTTATTGTTTTATTTTTTAAAAAATAGATGCTTATTTAAGTATGTAGTATGAAAATATTTATTTTACTCATATGTAGGCCTATGGTGGCTTTAAATCTACCATAAAATTTGTCTATCTTTTTCCATAATGTAAATTTTTTATAAGATAGAAGTAATTAAGTTTTTCTGGGAAGTGATAATCTTTGAAACCAAAAAATGAAACTATTTGCATGCCAATATATGTTGTTTTTAGCTGAATGTGGAGTAGTGTTTTTTCATTCATAAATGACTTTTTTAAATGTCCCTTGGACATCCTGAAATCATATACTTCGATTAAGTATTTAAAATCTAAATTCGTTGGGTTCTTGGGAATTGATAAGCCACATTGATTTGTTTTAACCTGATTTTTTTAATCCCAAATTGTTGGAAATTGAGTAAAGACACACAACGAAATGATTTACTCCACATCTAAAAAAATGTATTTAATTTATTGTACTCCAGATTATTCTATTCCATTAAATTTATTTTATATAAACCACCCTCATTTGTAACATAAAATATCATCATAATATAACATAATATGGCACATGATATAACATAATATAGCATCATAGAAATGAAGTTGAAGCAGATAAATGTGAAGGCACCTTTATTTTTTCACTTACAATTTGTTTGAAAATTGGCGCTTATCTTTTTACTTATGAATCAGTACGACAAAAAAAAGTTTAGAATTGAAAATAACACATGCATAATAATATTTTATTTTATCAAATATGAAATGGAAAACACAAATAAAAAATGTTATCGGGGTTTTGAATATTGTAGAGTGTCATTCGTTATAGGACGTAAGAATTATACTTTTGTTGGTACAAATTGTTAACCCATGCAGTTGCTCTTCATTAAATATAACTTTTCAATGTTAATACGCTTTGCACAGCGACTTAAATTAAACAATGTGTACATTGACTCCACACGTACAATACAATTGGATTTATTGAAATTAAATCCAAACAATGACTCTAGGACATATTTGGGTTCTCATAAGGTTTGCAAGTCAGATTGCAATTTGGATTTTGAAAATGTTCCCTACATTTTGTCAGAATTCTTTAATAATGTATGTAGCTTAGGTGTTCCAAATCATAAACTAAACTTGAAAGTTAATTAGCACATCAATAATGTTGTTGAAAAATATTATAGATCACATTGATTTGTGATAATGATGGACATCGTGCACCCTCTACAAGTAATATTACTTATAAAGAAGTTTTTTACAATTTGTAGACGCTTTATGAATATGTCGTGAAATTGTTTGTATTTAATTTTAAGATGTGGTACAATACTTAATTTTATTCAAACCTCTATTTATATAGTTAACTTATATTTAATTTACTTAAACATTGATAATTCAAATATTTGTAATTTATATTTCGTACTCCGTAACATTTTTCTTTCCGTGCAACGCACGGGTATGAATCTAGTTTTTAATGCAATTTTCATCTCATTATCTCTTTTTCTCTTTTTTTTTGAAATAGTCCCCCTTTTCCCTATAAGTACTATGTAAGCTCTTTTTGAAAGGAATCTAAATTTAGAAGGAGAGAAAAACATAATAAATTGTATTCACATAAGTCAAATATAAAAAGTGGATTAGAAGTGTTCTTACCCACAAACCTTCTAATATCTTGTGTTTTAGCTAACCCGACTAGTTCGCCATCTTGGAACCGCTCCAGCATGGTGAATTGACCTCGCTCATTTACACCATCAAATTGGCACCGAACATGGGGCCGTGAGAGATTTAAAAAATTCACCTGCGAAAATACCATATCGACCAACAACTGAGTGATAGTGCCGCTAGCCACAACCTTGGCATGTCCGTTGGTGCTGTACCGACCACTGGAGGAGTCCCAGCACTATTCCCCGTCGTGGCATCCTTGGGAATGAGCCCAGTCATGGCGCCCTAAATTCCTTTCTTAATGCCGTTGTGCCTAGTAATAGGATCGCCATATATGGCTCCTAGGGGTCACGTTCGCCCCAAGCCTGGAACACTTTTGGGCAGACCAAGCTTATGCTCCGACATTCTTGGGCTTTTGCGAGATTATCTCCCTGTTCCGGGAACCCCAAGGTTTCTCGTCATTCGTACCCGGTATGTTCCCCCATGCTTTAACCCATGCCACAAACACATCATTGCAAATACCCATGGCCCACCTATCGCCCTTCCGGCCTAATACACATGATCTTTGCTCTTACGTCATTTAAAGTGATAACTCAAAATTGTAGGAGATAAATTATATTCGAACTTCCAACAACTAACTTGTTCTATACACATGAAGTCATGAACTACTTTACTCGAATGAACTTATCTAGACCAAAATGACTATTGAGAAAAGAATGAGGTGCTCTTTGTTTTTTCTGCTGATTGCTTAAATAAACTGAAATTTAAAATAAATAGATTTTTAAAGCAATCAATATTTTTTAAACATTTAAATTTTACAAAGAGTTCTACAACACTAAAATAACAACAATAACATTTTTTAAAATAACAAAAATAACAATTTTTCAAACAATTTATTCCGCACTTTGCATTAAGTGCTTGGCAATTTCATCTCGTAACTGTGTCATATATTCACAATCCGATGCAAGGATGAGAATGTAAAAACAATTGTACAAATTGTTGCCGACAGGGATGAAAATGTAAGAAAATGTAAAAGAAGAAACTGACTATTGTACAAATTATTAACAACAAAAAAATATAAAAAAATTTTAAAAAAGAGATTAAAAAAACAAAAGAAAAGAAAAAAACTTATTTGTTGCTGCAGGAATGAGAATCGGAGGAGATGGACGACAGGGGTGAAAAGAAGCTGGTGGGGATGAGGAGAAAGAGAAGGCGTCGCCGGCAGGGATGAGGAGAAGCCAGCGGAGGGAGACGGACGGCTGGGGAGGAGGGAGACAGACGGTGGACGTCGGACGACGGACGGCTAGGGAGGATGAGGAGAAGCCGCCAAAGGGAGAAAGGAGTCGCCGATGGTGGTGGAGACTCCGACAGTAGAGGGTCGCGCAGAGGGCCGAATGGAGAGATCGGGTGTGGAGGCGGATGAGTAAGTTTTAAGATAGATCGTAATTGATGAGAAAACATGAGAAGTTATTGTCTTTTATGTCTGCTTAAGGAAGATGTTTGAAAAATGGGCAATGATAGGGGTACACCAATATGGGGTACCCCTAGCTTAATTCTTGAAAAATATACTCAAGTGGTTAGAAGCTTTTTCAAAAAACAAACACCCTAAAACCCTAGGCCAAGGGGTTTGAAAACAATCTCAGTCACAGTAATCTGACTACCGCAACTGTGTCAACTGCGGAGCTTCCTTCTAGCGCCTCCATAGTTCCTCTCCACGCCCTTCTGCAGAAAACGCTCCCGACGCACTGCAACCAGCGCCTACCGTCACTGGATTCATACCCCAACCCTGACGCCCTTACTCCGTCTCGCGGCCCCAC